ACCCTCAGTGTCGCGCCCGTACCGGACCGGGACCGGCAACGGGATCGCAACCCTCAGTGTCGCGCCCGTACCGGACCGGGACCGGCAACGGGATCGCAACCCTTGGTGTGGTGTTGCCCGCACCGTGCTCAGCCAGTGAGCGGGAACCGGTCTATATGTGGGATCCGAACCCTCGGCGGGAGCGCCACTGCGCTCCCCAAGCGGCGCACTGTAGCAGTGCGCCACCGGGCCGGCCCAGCAAACCCTTTTGATATTAAAATAAATACTAACTTATCTCTGATGTAGTTACCAAAAAAAAAGTCTAGTTCTTTTGTCTTTAATAGGTATCACCTAGGAGTTAATATGTTGATTTTCAATTTTATCAAAGTTGAGTTTTATGTGATTTATAGATCTAAATATTTGTTCTTTTCAGCTATTGGTCAGGAGCAGTGCTGTCCAATCTGTTGCAGTGAGTATATTAAGGATGATATAGCAACAGAGTTGCCCTGTCACCATTTCTTTCACAAACCTTGCGTATCAATTTGGTTACAAAAGGTGAGTTTTAGATTTACATTTTTTAAATTAATACTTAATAGATTCTCCTACAAGTTAACAATAATAGTGTCATTTAAGCCTATTTTATTTAGCTACATAACTGTAACACTTTGTAATTTAGCATTAAAAACTGGTTGCCTTTAATGATTACAGATTAGGGATAATATGGAACTATTTTACTTTACTAACATTGTCTAAACATAGAGAACGATAACTATTTAACATACTTCTAATCATTCTTGGAAATGACTAACTGTCTGAAAAATTATTTTATAATAAAGCCAATTAGATCTTTAATCACAACCCTGAAATCTGTTGTTTTTCAAAAGTATCTCAAGCAGAGGCCTTTGGCACTACTCAAAGTACTGAAACAGTGAGTGTACAGGTATTCCACTACCATGGGTTGGTGCTCCTGAAAATGCATATGAGAGATATCTAGTACCTCTTATTCCAGTTTTTATACATGTATACTGTCCTTAAATATTTACCCCATAATTTTTAAGTATATTTGAGTTATTTAAATAAAAGAAAGAGTTTTAGTTAAATCTTCTCTGTGAACTTTATTTTTGCATAAAGGATATTTACCATCCGGGTCGGTAGGAATTCACTAATCACTTTCCCAACTAATGTACTTATGGTTACAGCTTCCTTTTTTCCCTATAACCTACTCCCTTTTCCTCCACCCTTCTTTCCTTTCCTTTCTTTGCTGTTCCTCCTCCCCTATAGCCATTACATCCTTCTCAAAACTCTATTTAAAATCTCTAAAATCCAATGTAGAAAAGGTCATTTTCTTTATGAAATCAAATACATCATTTAGTTTTTGATACTAGCTTCTATTTTATGTCTGTATGCATATTAAATTTGCATGTGGTTTTGTAGTCTACTTTTGCAAAACATTACTTGCATATTTTTCCATTTACTGCAATCTTTTGTTTCCGTACTTCTCCTCAATTCCTCTTTCTTTCTCACTATTCCTCCTGCCCTCCTCCCATAACCAGGATTTCTATCTAGGAGTGTATCACACTTTTTCCCATTTGCATTTGTGAGATTGAGGTTTTTTTTAATTATTTTTTTTAAGAGGACTATGCTATATTTTTTCTATGCCTGTTATTTTTCATACTTATTCTTGGGTGGTTTATTTTTTTTCAACTTTAAAATTATTTTATCTATTTGCTTCCTTCCCAAGAAAGAATATACTTTAGGATTCTAATTGTGACTACGTTAAACTTATCCATTATTTTTAGAGAACTGTTCTAGAATACTTTTAGAATTAGATTAGTAGAACACATAAAATATTTATGAGATACAATGCTCATTTGAGTTAAGGTCTAAAGTTGTGTAGTTGATTACTGCTGGATTTTTTTTTGTTTTTTCTTTTTAACTTTATGTCATTTGTTAAATGATACTGGTGATCATATATGTATCACATAACATGAAAATTAAATGAGATAACCCACAGTGCATGGCAGATAGTGAGTACCCAGTGCATGTTAAGAAAATCTTATCAGATCAAAGCTGTTATTAGAAATTAGAGAGATTTTTATTTTATTAATAATGAAATCACAAATACAAACTTAATTTATGATATGAGTTATAAAGACCAGCCAGCAGTCTTCAATAAACAACATGTACCCACACAATTGCTGTTTGATGAGTATTATCTGCATAGAGATCATATTTGTCTCAAGTCTCTTGAGACTCCCTGTCATTCTGGATTAAGGTGTAATTCTGGATTCTGAGTTATTTGATCTCTCCCCTTTCACAGAACATGATTTGGTTAATAATATTCTAGGTGATTTTTCTTAAGCTGTTTATTTGCCATTATGTTGCTACATTCTAGATGGCTGTACCATACAGTATATCCACCTCTAGGGTTTTTATAAAGGTTGAAGTAGATAATCCATAATGAACTTAATATAGTGCCTCACATAATAAACACATAGTGCAGGAAAAGTAGCAGTTAAGTTAGAATTAAGTAGAAAAGAACTTTCAGTGCCTATACATGGTGATGGTGGTGGTGGTAGTAGTAGATGTAGGGGTTACTAAAATTTTTGTGTATACCTGTTCTGAGGTTTTTTCCCTCATTTCATTTCTACTTCTGTACATCAGGCCTTCAACCCTTGTTGACTTAACTACCATAGTAGTTACCTACTTCATCTCCTTACCTCCTGTAAAGGTATTTTCTAAAATGTAGCTCTGATCATGTTACTTCCCTTCTTACACAAGAAAAAGAGACACTTCCAGTCATCTGTGGAAGAGTTTGAAGTTTCTACCTTGGCTTTCCGGGCCTTCTGTGATCTAGTCCCTGACCTATCGCTTCAGATTCACTCTTCTGTATATTTACTCATGTTTCTGTGCATCTGCTTATGAAGTGTGGTGTGATCTTTTCCTATACTATCTGTAAGATTCAATTACCTAAATAGGTCCAGTTTAAATTCTCCCTTTTCTGTCCTTAATGTGGCCTTTCTTTAAATTCTTAACAATAGTTTCAGGGACTTAAGAAGGATCCAGTGTTTTGTGTCCCTGCTGTGTGTCAGGCACTTGCTGGATGATTCATATGTACTTTCCCATTTAATCCTTACAATAACTCTAGAACATATCGCTGTCCTTATTCCTATTTCCCAACGATTGATACTCGTCCAAGGTTACACAGCAAGTATGTGGTTGACTAAGGCTGCCCTCATACCTAATCGGTATGGTGAGTGTACAGTAAATGCTGAATTGAGTTCTGTAATTGTAAATGTTATATATGTTGTACAGCCTTGAATTGTACTTGACTTTGCTATAACCCAAGGTAACAATCTCTTCATTCTCTTTCCTGTCAGGAAACAGCTTAGTGTAAGCTGGTTTTCTCTAGGGAAAAGGTTCCCAAGATATAGTTTTTTGTAAGCTTCACCAGCATGATCTCTTCAGCCTCCTTTCTGTCAAAGAAATCTCTTTGAGAAAAAGACCAGATTTGCAAGGGGATAATCTATCATCTCATGACATATCTCTATCATCTTCCATTGGTCCTAAAATACTGAACTCCCAATATAACTGCTTCCCCCTTCCCACCTTCCTTCCCAGGTCTGTGGTTGATTTGTTTTGTCATTTAGAAGGAACCTAACTCTCCATCTCTCTTTGGAAAGGAATTACCTGCCTTATAAAGAAGGTCTGAGGTCCACCTGCTTTGACATATCTGTGCTACCCTAAAGTGAGGCTTTAGCTTATATGAGGAAGGTCCTGGGTGGGGGGAAATTTGATGAAATAAGTATGTGAATTAAGTAGGTCTCTGGTTTCTCTAATATGTGCATGAGAGATTAAATAACAGTAATTCAAGTCAGATCATTGTTGTGCTAAACTCTGACCTCCATGAGGACATGCACCTTGATTGTTTGCTCACCCTCTCCCGCAGCACCAGTGCCAAATGTGGAGGCTCTTAATTAACACTCACTCAATGAAAGATGAATGACTTTTTAAGGGTACAAACAGGATTAAGAGGCATTGTTTACCCTTATAGAAATTAGAGTCTGATTGGGATGCAGAGGAAAGAGCACTAAACTTTGTCTTTCTGTGTTGTATGGGTTTGGAATTTTATTTGGTTTTTGTTTTTAAGATACTTGATTTGTTACTAGGATAACGATACTGTTTTTTCTTTATTAAGACAGTTGTATGGTGTATGGTAGTTAAGATGTGTCTGGTGGCTATTAATAAGGCTATTAACATGCCTTTCTCCCTCCAGTCGGGAACATGCCCTGTGTGCCGCCGTCATTTCCCACCTGCAGTTATCGAAGCTCCTGCAGCTGCTTCCTCCGAGCCTGATCCTGATGCCCCACCTTCAGATGACACTACTGCAGAAGCCCCCTAAACCTTAACAGCTGAAATGAGATCAGTCTATCAAAGTAAATCTGAAAATTCCTTCTAACTCTGATGTGCAAATAATTATATATAAATATATTTAAAATGCTATATGTAGTATATTCCATAGTTTAGAAAGAGGATATTAACCTTTCTAAACTAAATTTAGGTTTGCAGAAAGTACTAAACATTTTCAAGCTGAATGTTGAAGCAGTGCATCCATTTTCTTTAGTTGAATATGTTGGCATTAATTGTAAAGTCAAGCTTATCAGTTAACTCTCTCCAGAAGACATAATCACCTTTGTGGCACACATATTGGTTTTGTCTAAAGTACTGCCACTAAGTGATTATAATTAAGCTTACCTATTTGCATCAAATGTGAAGACTGTGGTCACAACAGTAGTAAAATTTGGTTTCATTGGAAATAAAATGAATTCTAAAGCATGCTTCTTCACTGGTCCCTTTGCTTTTGCTACATCAAATAACCTCTTGGTTCATAATACCGAGAAGTTATTTAGAAAGGTGTCTAGTTTTCCATCTTGTTTATGATTAGGACTTTTTGGAATGCCAAACAAAGACTAAAATTTTGGCCAGAACATCACAAAATTTTTAAATCTTAAATTTCATGCCCCTGAAATAGGTAGTAAATGAATTATTTAATAAAACAGTGGATGTGCTTAAAGTAAGGTTTGAAAAGCATATGAAAAGTCTGGTGTACTTAGTACTTGGTACACTAGATGAATTAGATGGCCTTATGAAACCTTTTCTGAGCTCTTATCAAACCTGTTTCTACTTGGTTAAAATTATACTTGAAGGTCCAGAACACTTATGGCACTCTTGTTTAATAAGTAGCAGATACAGTTACTTTAAGGTAATTTTGGTTCTGAAATATTTTGGAAAGTCTGGAAACTCGTGCAGGGTCATCTTTGTAATTATATAACGCCAAACTAAGATTGCACAGCTTCTCCTTTAGATGATCACACGGTAGACAAATATGTAGAACCAGGGGTGTAATAGTTCACTTACAGATGTGATTTGATATCAGCACTAAAGAACGATGGCTGTTAGAATATCATATTTGAGCAAGTAAAATTGTAAAGCATATAGTGAATGTACATCCCTCCAAGTGGTCCATCAGTAATTTAGTTTGGACACACAAAAGGAATATTTATATGGCTGCCCAAATGAAGAATTACATTTTATTTGTGTAATTTTTCTAAGTATTTATATTCTCTTTTTTCCATCCTTTAAATTAATTTTCACTGTTGGCACATTTGAGGCTTAAATATAAGGAACATAACACTTGCATTCTAATTTTTGCATATATTGTAAATGTGTCTGGTATTTACAGCAAAATACTGTGTATCCTTTTATGGGTAAAACAAAAGTGAACATTGCATGCATGTAATGTGAAGAACTTGTAATTTAGGGGTTCTTTGGGGCTTCTGTGACTTTGGAAATGCTTACATTCAGGCCTTAATGTTGCATTAACTAGCATGTTTTCCTTCTGATATATATAGTCACTGTTGTATAAACTAATCTTTGCTTGTTTTCTACTCTGTGATCTTTCCATACCATACTTTGGAAATGCTTACATTCAGGCCTTAATGTTGCATTAACTAGCATGTTTTCCTTCTGATGTATATAGTCACTGTTGTATAAACTAATCTTTGCTTGTTTTCTACTCTGTGATCTTTCCATACCACATTTCACTGATGATCAGTTAGTGTCGAGGAGTCAGATCAGATTAAAATTAATTCTCATGTGTATATTGTGGATATTCGTGGCTAGTGTGATTTTTTTTTTTTGTTTCCTCTTAAGTAATGTTGATCAGTTGTGACACTGGTTAAATTCACATTGCTACAGGTTTTTCTGTAATCATCCACACATTATATTTAGACAGTATTAGACCTTGGTTTTTTCCCTCCTGGATAGCAGCTGTCCCAAAGAAAATATTTCTTCTTTGCCTGTTATAATGTAGCTATTATCTCTGCCAGTTGTTAAGAGGCTTTGGTTCCAAACTTAACCAGCAGTGTTGAGAGCTGAACTTAAGATAGCTGTTGTACTTTTTGCTTTCCATCTGTTACTGTCCTTCATTCTTGGCTCCCTACTATCTTAAACAGCTGCTATAAAGGAGAAAAGTAGAATTAAAAAGTCAGCTTAAACGAAAAAGAAAATTGAGGTTTTAGGATTTTCATGGTTACAAGCTGGTAGAAACTGAGGCTGACAAGTTCAGACACCAAAATATTATTTGATCATATCTTGGATCATTTTGAAAAAGTTAAGAATATATGAAGGTAAATTAGAAATAAGTATGAATATTAATAAATGTCATTTACCTTATTTCTCTATTTTATGTTGCGATGACCTAATAATTTTATTTTTTTAAACATTTTCCTATTTCGTGTTATATGAATGCTGATATTTAAAGATAGATCCACATGGTTTTCTTTTGTGTTTCTTAATTGTTTATCTCTAAGCTAACTAATTCTTAAGATTATTTGTGATCTGTTATATATAAGCTGTTGAATATATATGAACTGTTGGAATGGAATGCAAGTTTTCAAAAGCCCAGGTCTAAATGTAATGATTGGTTTATTGTTTTACAACCTCAGCCCATCATTTTCCATGTAAATCATAAACAATAAACAGGATATACTCGGTGGTCATTTCTAATATTTAATTATGTAATCATATCACTTCTGTAATGTAACCCCTAAAGGATTTAGAGGTAATGGCAAAGGAAACAGCTATTAAGGAAGTCTAGAATAGGCTCCTGAGCATATGATTTTATAGTCTTTGAACTGTGATCTAAGCAGGCCCTACAGAGAGCCATATAGAAGTTATGGACTTCTGCTAATGGACTTATGTTGCTGATGGGGCTCTGAAGGAGTAGTTAGTCCTTGTTGCCCTCTCTTAGCAATCTTGTAGTTTCAGCAGAGCCTGGTTTCCCTACTGACTCAAGACTGAAGAAACCCTCAAAGTTCCAGGAAGGGGACCCACTTCACTTCAGTGGCTTTCTCCAAATTAGGCGTGGCACTATTATCAAATCTAACTGCTTAGGAAGATTCCTGTGGTTTCCAAAGAGTTCACAGACCTCGTTCATTTCAGAGGGGTCAGTTGGGTGCTGATAGGTTATGCTCACATTAAATTAGACAAAAACTAATGTTTTGTTTAGATGCTTTAGAAAGTTTAGAATACTGATTCTCCCCTAATAGATTAAGCATATACTAGAAACATACAGTCTTAGAGCTAGAAACAGCAGTGGTAACACCTCGACTGCAGTGTCAAAATCCTTTTATAATTGCATCATAGTTTTCAGCCACTACTGGGTGAAGCCACTTGGCACTCCTATAAAGGACGGATTTCATTGTTAGAAGAGTGTCACCCAGATTTTTCTATAAATAGCACACATGTGAAACTAGACAGGTAAGTCCTAACTCTTCTGTGTGGCCATCTCTTCATATCTTCTATCAGGCATGACATTTTTCTGAAGTCTTACCTCACATGATATCTATTCCAGACCATCCTGGGGTTGGCTCTTGATCTCTCTCTTTAAGTACATTGCTTAGAACTAAGCACAGTTCTGTTGTCTAATTAGAGCAGGGTTCAGGGACATTACCAATTTCAGTGTGACTCTCATACGGCTGGTATAATTCCCATGTGATTGGTATATGTTGTTATTACTACCCTCATTGTTAGGCAAGCGTATCACATTGTTTTGTCTTGCTGAACTTCACAGGCATTGTTGGTAAGCCAAGTCCACTCCTGATCTTTATTTATACAATTTCTTCTTAACCTCATTGGAAGACAACATTCATTCTTCCTAAATTTAACTTGTAAAGGTTCTTGTGAATCTGATTCTTCCTTTTAGCCTGTGTTCCAATTTTGATAAAGCATGCCTTTGGTATTGAGTGGCTTTGTCCAAGTTATTGTAAATATTGACTCGAACAGGATGGAATACAGACCCTTTTCAGAATGCCACTGTGGACTGCCCTCTAGGTGACTGATCCATTAATTAGTACTTTGGGTACAGTTGTTGATGCAACTACCAATCACTTCACGTGCCCCTATTTCTTTATCTTTCCTAAAAATTTTGTCATGTTTGGCAGACAATCAGATGTACTGTCTTTGGAAGCAGTCTAATTTGCTAGTATAGTAAATGAAGACAGGAAATGAAGTCAGCTGGAAATGCCTCATTCTTAGTAAAACCATACTATCTCCTTCTCTAACTGTTCACATGCTATCTGTTTAATTATCTGCCTTAGAATTCGATAAGTAATCAATGTCGAGCTTGTTTGGATAATTTTTTGAATCTACCCTTGACCCTCTCAAAAATTGTGATATTTGAAATAACATGACCTTGACAAGTCAATCACTCTGCTTCTGCTTTCTCTAAAAATAATTCATCTAAATTACAGGTTTAGTATTACTGTTTGTGCATGGGTAAAGGTTTGAAAAAAAAAAATTTGTTAATGTGCATAGTCATGGGGAAATACGTTGTGCTCGGTTTCCATCATTGTTTTTAGCACTATGTTTTGGAGATCGGTGAACATTTCAGATAAAAATCTTAAAAGGGTCTTAATCACCTCTCAGGAGTGCAGAGAATTTGACAGGGGAACTTTATTAAATCAAAATAAAATTTTACTAAAAGGCTAAAGGCCTAACACACTAATAAAGATAGGTGGCAATTTATTCCATGTTATATTTTTAGGTTATAGTCAGTATACGGTTTTTATAGTGAAAATTGATGGGGAGGTGGTCTTTATCTTACTATTTTAGGAAAATACTATCTCTTAGCCATTCACTGTCAGCAAGAGAAGTTCTGCTAGCCACCATGATTTCTTTTCCTTTGATTATAAACAGCATTTCTTCTTAAGATTCATTTTTAAAAATGCATTTTTACGTTATAACAATAGGTTCCTATTTATGAAATGTTTACTAAATATTAGGCATTGTGTTACGTTCTCTGTCTTAGCTAATCTTTGTAATGAATCAGTATTGGTTGTATTGTCCCAACTTTACAAAAAAAGAAAAAAAAAATTGAGTCCCAGGGATGGTAAAAGAGCTCTGGTTCTTAAGACCCTAAGGGTTCTTTCTACTTCATGCCATTTCCTGGGTGGGAGCAGCCTATCCAATCAGTGTTATTTAAGTAGTTTGAGATGCAGTCTGAATTTTTAAATGGGAAAAAATGGGGTCTGTTCAAAACTCTAAAGAAATTTTGTCTTTCCTTGCCATATTATTTTGCTAAGGTTTTATAAAGAGACATTTTTGTACCACTGACCAAAATTCTAATGTGGTCCTGGTTAGTGAAGTTTTTTAATCATGGATAAGATCTGATGAGAACTTCCTACCTTTGCCTGATAATCTGAGATCCTCAGATTATTCTGCAGAGGCTGTCTCTGGCCTGAGGGGTGTGTAGCATCTTATTGTTTCTTCAGTGAGATGTGAGTAATGCAGACACCTGTCTACAAGAGACTTGCACTATCCTTTTCTAAAGTTTCTTCCTCAAGAAGCCATGGATGTTTGCCCTCCACATTTGCCAGCATTCCAAAGAGTAGAAAACCTATACCCCCAACTTGTTTCATCGGTGGTAATAGATTTGACAGAGGCTTTCCTTTTGATTTCGGCCCTTAAATGCCATTTTAAGTTTTTTCTAGCCATTTAAGCTATGCCCTAGTTCTGTTTGTCTAGTCCTATTTTCTTGTTGAAAGAATCCAAGTGTTAGAGACAGTTGTTATAAAGGGCTTCACTATGTACCATTATACTGACTGGTGTTTAGCTTCAACAAATAATTCCTCCTCTTGACCTGGACCAATCCCCCAACCCTGGTATTGAAGCATACTAGGTTTGCTGCCATTCCAGAATGTAAGCGTTTTTATTTTAGTTTAAATTAACATTTAAAGCAGATGAAGTTGGGGATGGGGAGCTTACAAACTGACCTTATCTGGAAAGCAAGCTCTAGCCTCGACTGGATAGTGATGAAGCTATTCACAAGTAAACTCCTTGGTTACAAGCCACATCTTAATGAGTAAATAGCACCTGAAAGAAAATGTTTAAATTTTTAAAAATAAATTAGTGAGCTTATGAAAACAGTACATTAGGACATGTCAAACTGGCAACCTCCCCGAATCTGCTAAAAAATACCTTCACCAAACTCAACAAATATTTGCATAACCTGAGCTGCTATCCAAGTGCTTAATGAATGTTTACCAAGTGCCAATTCTGATAAATTGTGAACAAGGTAGACAAAATCCCTGGCCTCCTGAAGAGTCCACTGTAGTGAGGAGACTATTACATAGTCTCTCCCCACCCTCTACACAGCTGGATTCACTCTTTAGGAAGGATTTCATCTTGGCCCAGGGGATGCCCGACCCATAGAGCCTTAGAGGCTCTTCTGTGGCTGTCCAAGCTAGAAGCAACCAAAGTTGGGAGAAAGAATAACAAGTATTGAGCTCCCCAAGGTGACTTTAGCCTCCAGCAACTACCCTCAAGCCCAGGGGATCTATAGCTATGCTGATATATTTAGAGGTTAAAGATCTCTTACAAGGTTATGCCCTATGGCCCCTAGCAGGCCATGATGTCTCTAAACCAGAGAAGTTTCAAAAGAATTTATTTTCTGGATATGGAACTGAGCAGAATGGAGAGAAGCAAAGCTTAACAGTGTTTCATCATATATCCTGTGCTATATCTTTATTACTTTTCCCTCCTACTCCCTGTGCTCGAAGGCACTCACACATAAGCATCTGTTGTGTTTTTACCCAGAAAATGGAACATAAAGCAGGCCATTGTGAAGCATTGCTTTCCTGCTACCTATGTGGCCTCTGGTGCAAAATATTGTATAATTTTTGGTAACCGTACTGGTAGGTCAGGGCTTACATAACAAACCCTGCAAACTGTCTTAGTAAGGGCTTGACAAGGAGTAAGCACCACTGTCAAATTGTCAGACTTGCTCTCTTTTGACTCCCAGCAGCTGAATGAGCCAAATGGAGTGCACTGGGCATCAGGTGACAGAAAGCTACACAAACACACGGTCTTGTTAGGACAGCCCCTGCCTGCCTTAGCAGCAGTCCCATGGCACACAAAGGTGCCAAACCTGGCCATGACAAGGCTGAGGGAGGGCAGAAATGGTGCACAACCTCTGGGGTTCTTTCTCCACCCTCCATTGCTGTATGATGCTTTTTTTCTCCCAAAAACTAGGCCCTGGAGAAAACCCCTAAAGCTTATTTAATCCACAGGTCGGTGGAACTGTATAGAAGAGGAATCCGAATAGAAGGCTGTGTTAGATGGCTTCACAGTGCCTGCCTCACCCGTTCTACTTGAATGAGGACATCTGAACATTTTCATTGTCAAGAACTGAAGGGCCTAAGATTGTACTCTGCTTGTAAGCTAACAAGTTTTCTAGATTCTGGCAGAATAGTAGAGACCCCTTGATCAGAGATAAAGGACTTTATTTCTCATGGTCCAGCGAGCAGCATGAGTGTGATAATAGCATCAGTTCCCTTTTTCCCGTGTCCCTCGAGGGTGGTGCATAGACTGGCGAGGTGGACACTGCACACACAGTTTGTGTGACAGCTGAGGAAATCTGAGCTTAGGAAACTCCAATCATAGAAGGGGGCTGCTGGCAGACCTGCCCCAGAGCAAGACACTATCTTTGTTATCTTCAACAG